CCCTGCAGGTGCACCCCCCCCCCCCCCCCACATGTTAAGTGGAGTAAACTGTACTGTCACTTTTGTCTTGCTTCACAGTTAAAGCATTTAAGCAAAGTCATTAATGTGTTGCCCTATATACCGTACCTTGTGTCCTAGTTGGGAAGCTTCGCCTCTGGCAGCAGTGGAAACAGGGTCGATTAAGTGGCCAATTTCCTGCACGGAGGATGTCAGCTGCTCTTGCAGGGCCTAAAAAGAAGAGGAAATGAAAGTACATTTGGTCCGGTGTGGCCTTTTATGGGAGAGGTGGAATTGCATTCAAAGTGCTTCACCTGGAACCTTGACATATATTCCCTCAAACAGAAGTCATTTCAAAGAGAGAGAAAAAAAAACATACAATAACTTTTTGCATAAATATGCACATCCCAAATTAATACTTGATTGCAGCGCCTTTGGCATTTCTGACAGCACTCAATCTTTTTTGGTAGAAATCCATCAGTTTGGCACTCCACATCTGTCAGATTGCGAGGACATCTGCTGTACATGGCCCTCGTTAGATCAGCTCACAGATGTTTGATCAGGTTTAGGTCTGGGCTCTGGCTGGGCCATTCTAAAAGTCTAAATCTTCCGATGAAGGCATTCTTTTATTAATTTGTACTTTGGGTCACTGTCACGTTGACATCTGAAGTTCTTCTTCATCTTTCTCGCAAAAGCCTGACAGGTTCATGCTGCTATTTGGACCTGTTCATAATTCCCTTTGACGAAAGTCCTGGTTCCACCTGACAAAAAACAGCCCCAAAGCTTGAAGCTTTCAACATTCTGCGTCACTGCAGGTATGGTGTTCTTTCGGTGGCTACATGTGCATCTCTCCAACAAAAGACGATTTAATATGTATAACGATACGATTCAAGGTAGGGTAATTTTAAAGCGGTATGATTCGATTCAGTGGGATTGCGATTTAATATTGTACATCTTCATTCAAGAAGGTATGAATCCAAGATGCGTTTCTTGTTGCCATCTTCCAACATGAATTAACTTGTAAATGTGGCAAAGAAATTCACCAGACTTGCTGAAGAAACGTATTTGTAGATTTAAGCCCCAAATATTCAAGCTACTTAATTTCTAAGAATCAACAAATTATCAGCAACATCAAACTGAGTTATTCCGATTTGTAAATGTAAAAATGCATGAAAAGCTTTAAAGGCATCTACCTTTTCTATGAGATACAATAAGACAGATGCTGTTGACTTAAATAAAAATGACATGTTATGTTAATATATGACAAAATAAACTTTATATCAAATTGGACCAAAAATATCATACAGTAGTTGGAAATTAGATTACTAAAACAAAGAGGAGGATTGACAGCAGCCTAAATCAACAGAAAGGATGTCGGCCAAGAGCATGCATAACACCGAGTATCTAATATATACACAAAAGATCAAATAAAGGCATCATTTGACAAAGATGAGTATTTGGAAGGGAAAAAAAAAGGAAATATTCTGAGTCCTTTCCTAACGCTTCCTTACCTCCAGAGAGATGTCATCCCTGCTGGGTAAATTCTGGCTGACCGCAGCCAAAGAGGCCTGCTCAATGTCCCGGATACATTTGTTGATGTTATCAATGGATGAGTCGCACTCCCGCTGGCCGGGGGCTTTGTCCCTGAGAAGGAAATGGGCCGGAGAGAGAGCAGTAAAATGGATGAGGGAGCGAGGTTGAAGGATGATAAACAGGTAGTGAAGAAGACAGAGATTGAAAAAGAGAGGAGGTATTTGTCATCCAAATGAGGAGACGCTTACATTTTTATTTAAAACGCTGATTTAAAAGTACTTATATTCCACCTTTGTGCTGTAACTATGTGAACTTAGAACCTAGTTTTAAGATAGTACAATACATGTTTATTTATATAGAAAGTAAAAGTCAATGAGACGAGCTTTAACACAGTTTAAGAGCCCCGCCCCCTTCCACAACAAACCGGATGGCCGTGATGAGACTCTTGATGGAGTCAGAGACGGTGCGGGAATGACCGGCCAAAACAGACCAAGTGGGCGGGTCTTTGGGGTTGATAACCAACGAACGGGCAGTCTTGAGCAGGTAGGTGGAGCTGTCAAGCATGGAGCGTGCTGATTGGATGATTGGCTCCTGAGCCATAGAACCCTGCAGGGGAACAAGTTGGTTGAAGACTTAAGACACAAAATGTTCTTTGCTCATTAAACTACACAAAAAGCAGCTGTCTGTAACCGACCTCGTGGCTGATCTTAGCCGGGATGCTAGCAAATTCTGGGTTGGACGCAAATATTGTCAGATTTTCCACCGCTTCGATGAGCGGAGCCGTGGCCACTCGACATCTGTTCCTGTTCTCATCCGAGAAATCTCCATCGAGGGCCTAAGGGCGAAAAAGGCATCAGCAAAGGATCAAGGTTTGCTGCAGCTGATTAAAAGAATTAAACTTGAAACAAATGTGAAATTAGCTGCTATGAATAAATTGATTCTGTAATCCAACACATACAGGTTCGGGTTAGGTTAAATCCTGGATGAACATGTGTCCAGACTAATTAGGCTTTGGCTGGACTAGACCCACCTTAATGGTTTTGACCAGGTTGGCGGTGCTGTTGGCTACCTCCTTAGCCGACTGGACAAAGTGCCTCTTGGCGACTGGGTTGGTAGTCTTGGAGGAGGCCAGGCGGCAGGCGTTGCACAGTGCAGATGTGTGCTTTGCAACAATGGTGGCTGCTGAGAGCACCTGCGATATTAGGAGGGGAGGCGTCACGGTCCATGAAAGGTCACTGCAACATTCACCGGTACTCAAAGTAACCTTGATTGTAATATCTTATGTTAGCCCTCCAAAGCATGAAGTGCAATTTTCACCCATTTTAAATCATTTTATAGTACAAATATCTAACCTGGAAAACAATAAAGAAGAACAACCATTAGGCCGTTTTATTTTATGGTTGCTTGTACCTGGGAGGCGCTACTTTCCGGGTCCACAAGATTCTGACAGGCTGTTTGAATTGCCTGGTTGGCTTTCGCAAACTGGATTGGGTCCACCAATCCTTGGTGGCCTGCGTGACTGTTGGGATCGGACACACCCACTAGGTAGGATGCCTACGGTTAAAAATAAATAAATAAATAAATAAAAATTAAGGTGGCACTATAGATGAAAAGCCATGATATAGAGACACCATATAAAAACAAAAACCATTGGTGTTGTACCTTCATGCTTTAATCACAGACCCACTTTATAAACGCATTGTGATTTAAACATACCCCCCAAAAACTGCAGGCATAAAATGTATCCAAAATAGGGTCTTAGTGATAATGGCATTTCAATTCATTTCAATGGGGAACGTTAATTTGGAATGAATTTAACGAGTTAAGTAAAATAATCACTGTATTCTGTCATCCCCATCTCCGAAAAACGTTAATAATAAACTAGTGATTTCCAAACTATACGTAGAGATTTCTGTGGCAGATGGCGAGATATGTTCCACAAATTCCAAAAATCTGTGAATTTGTGATCGCATGAATGATAACCCATGATGTAGTGCACTGTAATCACTCCACATGAATCAACGACTTTGGGGGATTTGTATGTACCTGTCCAGCAGCTTCAGTGAGCCCACACAGGGCCTTGGACGCTAATCTGACGCAGTCTCCAAATGACATCACATCTCCTGTCTTGCAGTTCTGGGAAATTCCCGCCATTGACTCTCCCAAGACCTTGACAGACCACCATGAATGAAAAGAGAGAAGTAACGGATTGTTAAGAAATGAGGGATGTTTTAGCTCCCAGCTGGTGGACCTGGAAGGCCTACCTTGGAATTTTCCATGACACTCTCGATGCAGTCAAAGTAGGAGAGGTCATTGATGGGTTCATTGGGGTTGTCCAGCATTCCTCTGACGGCCTGGAAGGATTTAATCAATTTCTTTTAGGCAGAGGACTAACAGAGTAACGTGTTTGCCTTTAACACAAAACCCATTGAAACAACAAAATTATAAGCAGTGTGACAAAACATCTTACTTCTGATATCCTTCAAAAATAAATAGGCTTTTTATTTTAACAAATATACAGAACAATATTCGCTGACAGTGTCAAGCTAAAATTTGCTTAACAGTGGTGGCAAACCCAAGCCAAGTCATACTCCTCAAACCTGTTGCATAACGATTAAAAACGAGCGCGGTTTACCTCGAGCTCTCTCAGAGCATTATCACACTCCTTCTGGCCGGGCGCCTGCTGAGTGCACAGCGTGATCAGCTGGTTGATGCTGTCAGTTACAGCTCTGAAACGAGAAACAGAATATTATACCGTAAAGCAGTCTTTCTCAAGCTTTTTATGCCCAGTGCCACCTAAAAAAAAATACTCAGCTCTCCCAAAAACCACTAGAACGATCAACGGGAAAATATCGTAGGCCTAAGCGTTTAGAAAAATATTTTTAGCCACTGTAATATTCTGGATGGTTTCATAACACTGGCTGACATTTAAAAAAATATTTTTTAATCAAAGTTGCGAGTCAACGTTTCGCGATTTTTTTGAGTGCTGATTCCAATCTGCCCTTGTTTTTTTTTTTTTTAAATCTAGTAAAGCAGGTTAAGAATATAGACATATATTTTGTAAGGTTTATGAATTAAGTTTTGGGCTCAGCGACATGTGGAATTTATTTCTGAAATGCCATAGCTACCGGTAAATTACAATGCATGGTAAAATCCTTCTATAGGTCAAATTTCGGAAATAAATTAATACATATATAACGGAGAGATACCGCCGCTCGTTCCTACCGACTGCTGTCAGGCTGCTGAATAAAAAATGAATAAATAAATAAAGCATAGAATTATTTAAATGATATGACAACATATGTGAATAGTACTGTGACTATTGTATTATATTGCACTTAATTATTGACCTTATCCATGTTTGTATTTATATTGCACTTAATTGAACTGTGTTTTCTTTTCTCTTCTTTCTACCCACAATCTTGCTGCTGAAGGCTGTAAATTTCCCCAGTGTGGGACAAATAAAGGATATCTAATCTAATCTAATCTAATCTAATCTAAAAAAAAAAACAAAAAAGACATTTTTTTTTATATCAGTGTCCAAATACATTTAGGGACACATAGTGCCATCTGTAGTTAAAATTTGCAGTTGACTAATAGATTTAAATACAGCAAAAATAAGGATAAATAAGGATTCAATAAAAATGAATTGCCCATAAACGTTACAATACAAAATACAAGTGTTTGAAAGAAAACATTTCCTTAAAAAGGAAATGCAAATGTATATCTATAAAACACGAGAACTATTTTGAAGTGCACTGAAAAAAAAAAAAAAAACAACAACAACAGAACATAGGCCAATTTAAGATTCAAGAAAATATAATTCAGTGATTCTCTTTCATACCACTAGAGGGAGCCCTCCCTCATGATAGATAGACTCCTTCTCATGGTATGCGATACGGTTTGAAAAAAACCACTGTTCTGAAGGGAAGGACACTTCTGGGGACCATTGACATCAGTGCATATAACACATTGCTGTGGCACCTTGCAGCGGCCGCGAGCAGGTTCTTGGCATTCGCTGCAGCAGGATCCACTGACAGGCTCTTGGCAGCCAGCAGCAGTTTGCTGGAGGCCATGGAGATGTTCTTCAGGTTACTGATCACCTGCACTTGGTCATCCCTCTTCTGAGATGATGAGCCGCATGACACAAAACAACAACACATGCAAATTACTGTAGATCACGTGTCAAAGTCAAGACCGGGGGGCCAGATCTGGCCCGCCATATCATTTTATGCGGCCCGTGAAAGCAAATCAAGCATGTCACCTTCCACGATGCTTGCTAAAGTCTGAACCAAAATTTCAAACTGTCATTTCCAATCTATAACAATTATCCATCAATTTGTTGTTAAGATAAGAAAACCTTTTTTTGCCTCACAATGGAGAAATTCGCTGTTTATGTAATATGTGGAGGTGTTTCAACATTTATATGGTTTTACAAAATTCACAGTCATAACGGCCCTTTGAAGTTAAACCGTAATGACAATGTGGCCCGCGACAAAAATGAGTTTGACACCCCTGCTTGTAGATGAAAGCACAATTTGAATATGCTGTAGTTGCTCTTTTTAATCGGGAAGTTGGCAAATAACAGCGGAGTCACTCTCCGTCTTCATCCTACATTCCAAAAACCTGCATGGCAGGCTAAAGCAAGGGTTGATTTTGACATAGAAAATGCAAAAAAAAAATTAACAGGGGAAAAAATAAGATGGAGAAGGACCTGAGTGTGCCCTGCCATCTCGATGCCAGCGTCCAGGAACTCGTCAAAGTCTTCACTGAACTTCCCCGACGCCACCGCCAGCTGGCTGCTGGAGCCCCTCGAGGCGTGAACCACTTCACCTGCAGACTGGTTGAGGTCGGCCGCCGTCTGGTTGAGTTCACTCTGCGCCTCCTGAAACGTCTTGGAAGCTGGCGGGATCTAAAAAGCAGAGTAAGACTTGCAGCACTGGGGTTTTTTTTCCAAGCGTTTCTTAACTCCCTATGCTTATGAAGTTTTTTTTTTTTTGTTTGTTTGTTTGTTTTTTGCAAGGGAGGCTTCGTTCAACTCACATTTTCAATGAGAAGCTTCTTGCTGGCCTCTCCGATGCTCTTGAGAGCCATGTCCACGTCCTTCTGACCAGGCAGACAGTTGACGCAGTTGTTCAGTGAATGAGACACGGCCTTGGCCACCTGCAGGTTCAAGGACGATCGACGGAACATTAAAAACAAATCCCAAGCGTGATGATCTATAATACAAAACGCTATTGCATTAACAAGCAGCACCACCTTGGTGTTTATCGCTACTCACAGTATTAATTAAGTTGGGAAAATGAGATGGCGAGGCATAAATCATTGAGAATGTTTTGCTGATAAAATATGACACCTGCTTAATTACGACGCTTTCCCTTGGCTAATACGACAGATGTTGAGCTGCTTACTTTCTTCTCCTGCATGTAAATATTTACCAGAAAGACTCAATTATCAGGCAATTGCAGGTGGAAGGAAGTTTCATCACATTTTTAAAGAAACTTCGAAGCAATTTAAGACCTGTCAGTAACTACATATGACGATTCGGAGTGGTCAATATTGTCACACTGATTTAGTGGAATGGTCCATATAATACCGACTTCAATTCGGGTGCCAAAACAGTGTTACCGGGACATCCCTGGTATAAAGATCGTCTTATTTTAGTATTGGATACAGTTCTGGATCTGAGAGTATTCTGTGCAGAAAAAAGATCAGCTGCACAAGAGAAGACACAAGATACATTTTACAAACAAATTGGCAACCTTTAAAAGTCAGAAAGAAATGCGCCCAAAGTCCAAATTCATATTAAATGCTCTCAGATCTCACCTGAGCCAACCTCTGCTGGCTCTCAGCATCTCCGGGACAAGCAAGTGCTTCCTTGGCCTCGTGGATGAGAAGCGCCGAGCCATCCATGACGTCGCGGGCCGAGTCCAGCATGGCGGCGGCGGCTTTGGGATCGGTGGTGGATGCGGCTACTCCGCGGGCCGCCTGGGCAAGAGTCTTCAAGGCCTGCGCTGTCTCCCTGGCTGCTATGCCTGCCGCACGAGTTTTCATGAGCATCAGTATAATGCATGAAATACGTTATTCAAAGTAGAGCTGGGGGATTAAGTGATGTTATCAATTAAATGGAGTTTATTTAGCAGGATGATTTTTTTTTGGTCCTTTATTTTTTTCAATTGATGTATTTTTTTAATTTCTCGCATATACATACATACATACATACATGTATATATATATATATATATATATTTTTAGATAGATAGATAGATAGATAGATATATTATCCGCAGTAAAGAGTCTGAGATCTTAATGCGCCGGTGTATCATGACAGGTATGGAGGTTACATGATATATGACAAGGAGCAAGCTGTTAGCTGGCTGTCCGAACTGCCAAAAAGAATGGCGGAACTACTATATAGTGCAGGACTAGATGGTGAATGAGGGGTTAGGGAAAAAGGATTGACATTTGGACTCTCTCCAGCGTGTCTCCGTGGCCTCCTTCCGGTCGCATGTGCCTGCAACACCTCACCAGGGAGGCGTCCAAGAGGCATCACAACCAGATGCCTAAGACATCAGATATCTGGTTAACGAGAAGTAGTGCATCCAACAAATCTGGCCTTTATGGAAGTGTGGTAACAACAAAGCCATTATTGAAAGAAAGGAAAGAGAGGTCTCGTTTGCCATGTTGAAGAAACCGCAAACAAAAGGTACTTTGGTCAGATGAGACAAAAGTTCATTTTTAGGAGGCTGAAATGCAAAGCCCTATGTGTGGTGGAAAATTAGTATCGCTCATCATTTTTCAGATTTTTATCAAATCTATAGAAAAACATTGATGTTTGTGGAGTAAGGTGGCAAAAGGTAAAAAAAAAAAAATCAAAGGGGCATTTAATACTTTTTCAAGGCCCCTTAATGTCTAAATATCAGCTCATCACAGACAGACAATATGATGGGCTTATATAATGAGTAAATGCATATGTAAATGTTGCGAATAGAGTGATGACTATGATTTTTTTCTAGGTGGATTTTTTTTTTTTTGGTGTGACATCAGATTAGTAGCAATCACTTAGCTATGTTTTGATGAAACAAGGCTTTTAATCGCTCCTGAAAACAAACACATGTGACATACCAACATGGGTTTCATCAGGGAGTGACATTATTGTTCTGTTCATGACAAAGTAAGTCTCTTCTTGCTTTTTGGTTATTTCACAATTGTTTTCTTCAATTCATCAGAATAATTATGAAATTGTTCTCATAAATAGAACATCACTTCAGTTTTAAAAATCGTTCATTAGTTGATTTGTGGTGAGAGTGGAAAAAAAGCTTCCGGCAGTTATCTCATGAACCAAAAAAAAAAGAAAAAAATGTGGTTTTCTGATGCCTTTCAGACAAGAGTAAATCTGCCCATTTTAAATTTGTTCGACAATGTTTGCATGATGTCATTTTCCTCTGTGATGAGGAACTTGGAAATTGAGAATTCCATCTATCGAGTACCCTCAACAAACATAAATAGATGTATGTCATAAAATG